CTCTTCAGGCACAATCTTCCTCAGCCTACTCAAGCTCAACTGATGAGGGGTGAATTCCCCGAAACACTGTGTATTGAGCAGGGAGTGGTGCTTTCTTACAGGTTTGCCGAGTCGAAGGTTCGATGGACTTCTCGTGTGCTCTGGATGGCAGTCGTGAGTCAGTCAAGTGTCAAGTAAAGTCGGCGGAATAGCGCGAGCTCCGGTGTGGGGAGCAAACCTTTCTAGCAATATTGTTATAGAGGTAAGGCATTGTATACACAAGTGAATGGAGTGATTTGGTTTGGCAGAAAAATATCGTTATAAGGGTAATATCGTTATAGAGGTTATCGTTATAAGGGTAGGTCGACTGTACATGATTGTACAATGTAGTACTCTATACATGGTATACATGGCAGTGTCTTGTATGAATCACGCATATACATGTAAACTGTATACAGTTTTCAGTAGAAATTGTTCTTGTTTTTTTCCTTGGCTTTTGTTTCTTCCGCCTGCCCGTATACCTATTGTTAAAATTTGCCGACGAGAAACAGAGAAAAAAAAAGTGTGGCCTTACTGTAAATCAACTAATTTTCGCTGGCGATTTAATTTCGCTGATTTCGCCGCTGGGTACCAACCGGCCAAAGTAAATTGCAGGCCAAAATTTGTCATAGAGGCAAATGATGCATTATTATGCCATCGCTGCATGTGAGGGCAATAAATACCAATCGATTTCTTTTTTGAAAACCCAAATCGGCCAAAGTTAAATGACGGCCAAAAGTTTCCTTTCGAGATCGGCCAAAGTTTGTCATCGACCAAAATTTGTTCATTCACAGTAGTAGTACTTTATCGGTTCGTCTGACTCTGAATCTCCTGATGAACTATCAGTCGGTGCAGTCCCGGAAACCTGAGCTGACACATCAGACTCTGACAGTCTCTATGCAATCCCAGGCCACAACCTGACCAGAGCTGACAGGCAGCGCTTTGGTGGTGGCGTTTGAATTCTTTATTCTCACGATGGCACCATCGCCAATAAGAGATAAATATATGAGAAGGTGAGATTGTGGGTTAAACAGTTGGAAAGTGATTTACATCACTTTGAACTTTACAAGTATGGGAGAGGGTGAGCGCTGCAGGAGCAGATTGAGTTAATCAGCAGTGAGCAGATTTCTTGTTTGAAAGCAGGTCGAGAGGAGACGTCACGAATGCTAGCAGGGAGGGCATTGTAGTATTCTAGGGACTTGTACAGTGGGGAGTCTATACAGCGATCGGTTCTGGAGGGTGGGAGGTGCCAAGTGCGTGCGTGTCGAAGGCTGTACTGGGCCGTAACTTGAGCGGGGGTGTTGAGCATTTGTATGTGTTGTGGAGCATATTGGTATTTTATGGAGTGAGCAAGAAGGGTGAGCTTCACTTTGCGGCGAGAGAACATTGTCGGCCATTTGAGCCGATGTAGCAGTGTTGAATGATTCAGAGGAGTGTAGAGGGGGAGATGGAGGCAGATTCTGGCCGCCTTGCGCTGGATTCGCTCAAGACGGTCAAGGGCTGTGATTGAGAGCGGGGTGACAGCAATGAATGCATATTCAATTATAGGCAGGATATATGTTTTGTAAACGAGAGAGAGAGTGATTTAGTGTGTAGAGTTGATTTGAGCCTAAAGAGAATATTGAAAGATTTTACGGCTTTCTTCAGCACAAAGTCAAGGTGGGCTGACCATCTTAGGTCGTGCTGACAGATGATGCCGAGGTGACGATGTTGTGTTACTGTTTCTAGTAGGGTTTCCCCAAGTTTTATTTCGGGTAGTCGTGGTGGGGGTCGGTTAGCATGGTAGAACCGGAGGATGACGGTTTTCGTTTTATTGACTAGCAGGTGCCAGCGCTCTAGCCATTCTGCTGCGGCATCGACGCTTCTTTGTAGCGCAGCCTCACACCCAATGTAGCTGCCTGCAATGGAAATTAGTGCGGTGTCGTCCGCGAACTGGCTTCACGAGGTTGTAGCATTTTCACAGGCAGTTGGCAGGTCAATGGTGTACGCCAGGAACAGAAGTGGTCCCAGGACCGAGCCCTGGGGCACTCCCGCTGGTATTGGTATGAAGGCGGATGGTGTGCCTTCAACCTGCACCCGCTGTCTGCGTCCTGTCAAGTAGGCTTCGAGCCACTTGTGAGGCTTGCCGTCGACACCGTAGTGGCTCAGCTTTTTCAGCAAGCCTTGATGCCATACACGATCAAAGGCTTTACTAAGATCGAAGAAACACGTAACAACATGCTTCCCCGCATCCCTAGCTGTGGATATCTGGTGGACAATCCGTGCGAGTTGACTATTTTTTCTTGTGTTTTTGTTATACTGAGCAGGGAGATGGGTCGGTAGTTGGTAGGAGGGGAGGGGTTGCCCGACTTGGGGATGGGTGTAATAGTTGCGTCTTTCCAATCCTGTGGTATTTCTCCGGTTCTGAAGGACAGATTGTAGAGACTAGTGAGAGATGGGGAGATTTCCTTTGCAGTTTCTTTCAGGAGCCGAGTTGGGATGTTGTCAAAGCCTGGGCTCTTGCCAGTGTCTAGACTGCTTAGAAGCTTCTCGACCTCTTCCACTGTTGCTGCGATTGTATTTAGAGTATGACTGATGTCAGGGGTAGTGTTGATGTCTGGTGTAGTACAGGCAGTCTTGTCGATGGACTGTTGGCTTTGGGAGATAAAGAACTTGTGGAGATCTGTTGCCTTCTCCATAGCCGTGGCTGCATTGGAGTTGGCTGTCGATAGTGTGGGAATTGTTTGCTTAGGGCAGACTGGCGTAAAAAACAAGCGGAATAGGAAAGTTGTCAAGGTGAATTGCTCACGTGACGTTCCCGCCAGCGGAAACACGGAAAAGGTTTCCCCCCACTGTGCAGGCCTGTGGAATGCAGATTCCGGCGGCACGCGGGAGCACTTTTGATATCCTCTATCGTCTGCATTGATCTGACTGTGTGCATGCTTTTGAGTTTTTTGGAATTTTGACTTCTGCCAGCTCCGTGTTGTTACGTCTTCCATCATGCCGAAGTCTTTATTTGATGCTGCAATGGAGAGAGAGCTCATGGAGCTCTACGTTGTGATCTTTGCGGGATCTGCAGGCAAAACATTGACTGCAAATGAAAAGCACACTTTGATCGCAGAGCGGATGAATGCGAAAGGCAAATCCCTCGGCTGGGCCACTCTGAATGCAACAAACATAGACAACAAGCTTGACGGATTGAGAAAGAAGGGGAAGAAGATGTACAAAACGTTCCGGAGTAAGACAAGGACCGGTGCTCCAGTCGAAGATGATTTTGACTTGAAGGTAATTCAATTGAAAGAGATGATAATTATAATAATTATTATTATGAAATGATACTTCACTCAGATTATAATACGATGTGCATTCAACTAATCGAAATCTCTTTGATGTGTAGAGTAATTCCAATCCAACATGCACCATTGCATTGTATCGTTGGGAACTGCAGATACCCTTTATATGCTGGCTGCTCGAATGGGAGTATCGTATAAAATCACATGCCAACTTGAAATCTCCATTTGCCTGTGCATCTGTGCGTCTCTCTCTCTCTCTCTCTCTCTCTCTCTTACCCTCTCTCTCTCTCTCTCTCTCTCCTCCCATTTCCTCCACTGCACAGGCTGCATACAAAGAGTGGGGTAATTTCCAACTGTACCACTCGTTGTTTTTCAAAAACCAGTCGCTCGGTCCTGGAGGGAACAACGAGGACACTGTTTCCGTGAGCCCAGCTACGGACGGATCACCTGCATCCCCAACAGTGGCAACACTATCAGAAGAACCAACCGAGGCATCGACGACCAGTGTTGCTGGTGCCGCATCCGTCGCATCATCTCCCATTAATCATTCTCGCCGCCGCCGCCGATCGTCGGACTCTGAGTCCGAGGTTGCTTGTCAGCTTGAGCCTGGCCGGAAGCCTGCCCGAAAAACAACCTGCAAGCGGGAGGATCATAATCCATCTATGATAGATGCCGTTCTCGAATCGCAGGAGCGCCAGATACAAGCCGATCAGGAAAGAGCTCGGCAGAACGAGGAGTTTCAGGAGCGCATGGAGGCACACCGACAAGAGAATGAGGATCGGCGAGAAAGAAGGGAAGAGGATGATCGGCGTGCCAGGAAGAGACGTGAGGAGGACGACCGACGTGAGCGAGAAAAAGCGAGAGTATGATGAAAAGAAGACAAGGTGTGTGTGTGTGTGTGTGTGTGTGCGTGTGTGTGTGTGTGTGTGTGTGTGTGTGTGTGTGTGTGTGTGTGTGTGTGTGTGTGTGTGGCTTCGATTTCTCTCTCTTCTTTTCTCTCTTCCTGTCGGTGTCTCCCGCTTCTGCGCGGCATGGCCCATGCTTCATGCATGCTTGTTCTTGTTGTTGTGGTATGTAAGCCCAGGTACGTGTATATTGTGTCCTGCCGCTACTTGGGCTTTGGCCGTGACCACGATTTATCTTCTCGTTTTCCCCTTTCTTTTCCTTTTCTAAGAGCCGTGACCACGATTTACCTTTTCCTTTTTTCTCCTTTATTTCTTTTTTTTTGCATATGTTTGGCATATTTTCTTTTCATCTGTTTCTCTTTCCACATTTTCCCATGTCTGGGTTCCTTGAACCTCATTCGCTTCCTTGTCATCGGACATGTCAGTCCGTTAGGTTTTGCGAATTCAAATAAAAACACAACCAGCAAACCAATGTTGTTTTTGAAAGACCGTAAAGTCTTAGTCAGACAAAACCTCCCCCCTTTTGTTCCTAGTATGGTTGCAACCTGCTATACATCATGAACATGTAAAACATATTATCAGATATTCCAAGTGATATGATGTTGATGAGTGATCTGCAGACCTACGAAAACAACTTCAGATCAACAACTGGCTTCTTCTGTTTAAAAGATCAGGCTTATATAAACGGATTCGGGCAGCTTCTAGAACATTCAACGGCCTTACATAACTAGCACGAGAAAGAACAGAGAATTGAGCTTCACCCAAACGAGATAACAACTGATGGTTTTTGTCTTCTTTCACATAGATTTGACTGAGGCCATTTGCCGGCAAGACTGTGGCATCATTTCCTCACTGGACAAATGCTCTTCGTGTACCGGTTATCTGTTCAACTACACTTGCCTAGGTGAGTACTCCAATCAGACCATGCCAGCAAAGTGCTGACAGTGCTTTTTCTGGGTCGTCAGGCGGCTTCAGAGGCAACTTGACAATGTGCATTCCTTGCTGGTGGTTCGAGACTCGGAGTTGCAACACAGCTAGGCATTTTCCAAATCAGCCGGCCGAAAAATTCGCCAGAAACATTGGCTATGAAAAGAATTCAACTATCTTTTTTGCCGAATATGCAATTTTCGAACTAAAATCGGCGCAAATCGATGCTTTAGTGCCTCAGCAGAATGCAAACAGAATTTCTGTATCCCTTATCTGCAATAGGTGACTGCAACTTTAGACATTTCCCGGAGCCGTCATCGGGAAAAGACGCCGAAATCAATGGAAATCGCCGATAATTGCGCCGAACTTACAAATTTGCATGTTTATTCTTATTTGAATTTGCAAGTAAACATGGGCTACAAGCCCAATTACATTGAACCCAAAGTGATAATGGGTTAAGAAAAGCGTGGAGGAAGGAGGAGGACGGTAGCAAAGCTACAAGGAGGGCACTTCAGGACCAAAATTGACAATTGCACAAGATTATGAGAGTACCTGAGATCGAGATTACCTGTGGAGCGATAAAATGCTAAAAGCAAAAAGAAGAAAGGAAATCATACGCCGATACCGGTACGCGCTAAACTGCACTTGACTTATAATGAAGGGGGAAAAACGGGCGCTCAAGAAAATTATAACATACAAAGTTTTTTTTTACAAAATACACAACTCACCGGCACGGCACGCACATGGGGATAGCATGGGGTGAGATGGTGCTGGTGGGGGTTGCCATGCTCAACCGACCAGAGGTCTCAGCATCTTCACATGGCGCACCAAGTGAGGGAGGGAAGCATAAGCATGAGGGGAAAAGCACGGGAGAAAATGGAAGATTTAGAACCAAGGAGAGGATCTCATTTGGAACACAGCAGAACATAGCAAAAAATCAAGCAGATAATAGGAGTGAAAGAAGAGTGTCAAATGAAGGGTGCAATAGGGTAGCAGTGGAGATTGGCTACTCACGATTGGCGACAATTAGGCTTGGGGTGGGAGAAGCAGGGGCATAAGCCCTGAGGAGGCTAGAGGTGGTCGGTTGCCCAGTCCCAGTCAGACTGCCTCAAGTGGTCATCGACCTTCTTCTTGAAGGTCTGCATCGCCTTCTGGAAGGGGGGAGCACTGAGGATAGAGGCTGGGAGGCAATTCCAGCTGTCAATCATACAGGGGGGGGGGGGGGGGGAGGACCGAATGACATTGTTCCGAGACTGAGGTGGTACTGAGGTCTTGGTCAGCTGGAATGGACGGTGGTTCGCAACTCTGCGCACGCTGGCTCGGGCCCGGGCTGGAGCTGGCGGGGGTAGGAGGGCTGTGATCATGGCATGGCCAGTCAGAGAGTGGAGCTTGAACAGGTAGCAAAAGGTCGCAACAGAGTGAGGGATGTCCAGGCTAGGCAGGTACCAGCCATCACCGATAACGTGCAATGCCCTACGTTGGATGGCTGGGAGCTGGGCTAGTGTGAAGGGTGCTGCGCTCAACCATACCAGCATCCCAAACTCCAGGATCGGCCGAACAAACCCACGGTATGCTACGACACGGCATCATGGGTTGAGAGCCATGGCAGCCTTGCGGAAGAAGCCGAGTCTCTGCACACCGCGTATTGCGAGAGACCATATGTCTTGCTTGAAGCATAGCTGGCTGTCAAATGTTACTCCTAAGAGGCGGCGCTGATCCACCTCAGGTACGTCCGTCCCCTGGAATGTGGTAGAGGGAACTGGGTGGTGGGATCGTCGGTGGGTGATCGTGAGGGCTTACGACTTTGTCGGGTCAAACCTAATTCGCCAGAGGGTGCCCCAGTCGGCAAGTGCATCAACAGCCTGCTTGAGCGTTGCGACTCCATCTGGAATATTGGCTCGCGTTGTGATACACTTATATACCGTGGTGTCGTCGGCATATACTGCGAGTTTAGCCTCTTCAGGTAGGTGGTCCTATGCTTCGTTGATGTAGATCAGGTACAGCGTTGGGCCGAGGACTGGATTTCACGGGTAGTGGAGGCCTGGCCACCAACGACTGCTTTGATCTTGGGACTAGGAGATAACTCTGCAGGTAACAGAGCAGGGACCCTTTGACACCGTATTGCTCTGCCTTGCGAAGAGCTCCTGGGCGTGAGACCTCGTAGAAGGCCCCAGCGATGTCCACTGCAAGCACCCTGACAAGGCCTCCCTGGGCAGCTGTCTGGTGCCACTAATGCTGGAGTGCGATCAGAAGCCGAATTGCCGCAATGACAGGGTAGAATTTTTCTCCAGGAAGTTGGACAGACCACGGTTGATTATCGACTCCATGCATTTGGATATGATAGACAACAGGGGAATCGGTCGGTAATTCTTGGGATTGGACTTTGACCCTTTTTTGTGAACAGGCACAACATTTGCAAGTTTGTAGGTTACAGGCTGATAGCCATTGCGGAAGCACGGGGCAAATAGCCGGGAAAGTGGGAGAGCCAACGGTTCGGCACAGATCTTCACCATGGCAGGTATTGAGTCAGGTCCAGTGGCCTTCCTGGGGTTGAAAGCAAGCAGGGTGCGGCGCACTGTGGCTGGGCGGAAGTGGATTGTAGTGAGCAAGTTCTGGGAGCGTAGGCGAACAGAGCGCATTATGCAGGAGGCATCAAAGTCATTCTCAAGGCTGCATTTATCAGCGAAGTACTGGCATATGAGTTCGGCCTTCTCGGTATTCCTGGTGTGCTCATTGCCATTGCTGTCGATGAGAACTGGGATAGAGCTGTCTCTACCGAGCCCACCGGAGTGCTTGCTCAGGCTCCACTAATCCTAATCCTGGGGACTGCCTGTTGCAGGCTTCGCTCCGGTGTACTGGAGATGTGCTTGCTTAGCGCTGGATAGTCGCGCACAGAAGCCGAGCATGCCCATCTCTACTCTGCCTGAAGAAGATTAGTCGAGTGCTTGCGGAGTCAGCGTCCCATGCCCACAAAACTACGCTTAGTTACATTACTGCAGGAGGAGTCAGGATCATCAGTGATCAGTTCGTTCCACGCGGTTGCTTGGTAGAAGGGTGTGAGCAGAGGCCAATCAGCATGTTGGTAACGCCAAACGGTCCGGGTGTCTGGAATATCATGGGATGGAGTTAGCTGGAAGTTGGTGGCGATTACTGCATGGTCTGATCGACCAAAGATTGGGTACATGGTGGGTTTAACCGCACCGGGGACATCCGACATGACTAAGTCAAGGGTGTTCCCGCCTCGAGTGGGCTCTGACACATGCTTCCAATGTTGTGGATGAAGCAAAGGTCTTCGGCGGCTTCTCTGGCTGCTGTTGTGCGAATGCTACCAAGCCATTCATGGCTGTAGACATTAGAATCGCCTGCCACAACCATGTGGCAGCAAGACTGACGGGCAATGTCAATATCAGATTCGAGCTGTGTGAACATAGTCATTTCATGGTCAGGGCAGGTTCGAGGCCGGTAAGCTGCATATACTGCCATTCGTGTTCCTGTGTGGGTGGTGATACTTACCCATAGGACCTCCTGGCCCGCAATGTTTATATTAAAATTTAAAAGTTCATCCGCGCCTTTGATCCTAGAGGGTGGTGGCGTTCCCACGGCGGATGCGGAAAACTCGGCTTCCAGCCGAGTCTCACGCGAACCGTGAAATTATTTTTTTTTTTGTGGATACGAATCTTCAGCCAGATTTTTTTGAATTTTATTATATTTAAGGATTTGCCAAAGGTTTTGTGCCTGCCCAGGGGATCTCCTGCAAGAAGAAAGAAATGACAACTTTACATGTATGTAGAGGGAGCAGTTAATCGAAGGTAGGCTAAGGAAATAGATCGAGGCATACGCAATCTGGTAATTAAGGAGTTGGGATACCGTCAGTGTAATGAATATATCAGCAAAATGCTGATAGAAAGAATTCTTGAATTCGGGGAGGCTGGTTATAGAGGTAGGAGAAGGCGGTAGGCAATTCCATAGCAATGCAGCTTTGTTGGAAAAGAGGGAAGAAAAACGCACACCGTGATAATTGATGTTAAGTTTGTTTGGCCTTCTTGCACATGAAGACAGTGAAAGGTGAAAAATTGGAGGTGTTCTGGAGATATAATTATGTGTAAGTTTACTCAATCTGCGGACAGCATGCTGTTTCGTTCTTTGTGAACTCATCATATGTATAAGTTTAAATAGAGTAACAAGAGCTGATACTTGTCTACGAAAGTGCAAGGACTCTAAAGCTGCGTTCACAACTTGCGCGTTTATGCGGTACGCTTGCGGTTCATGCGTGTCCAAACTAACGCTCAGGCTTTGCCAAAAATAGCAATTCGAGTCGTATTTAGCGTGTGCGCCACCTTCAAGTACTAATTTGTTGACCCCACCAGTCAAGGTGACTGGCTTGTACGCTGTATGCGTCTGATACGCGCTGAAAATTCCAACATGTCGGAAGTTTCACTTCGGCTTGTTTCCGTATGCATGGCTCCCCAAAAGCCAGAAAAACACACAAACATGTGGTTTCAAGCGTACAGGCGTCAGTTGTGAACACAGCTTAAGTCACAAAGGGCGTTAAACTGGGATTTCGTTTCGCATCTATTTACATTGACTTTTCATGTAGCAAATACTTCCTAGATACTCTGGCTTGTAAAACATTTAAACGCTCCAGCTCAGCTTTGGTGATGGCATAGGTCCAGGCCGAGGTGGCGTGTTCCAGGGCGGGTCGGACAAAACTTTTTTTAAAGTAGTAGAAAGGCTGTGGAGGAAAGATGCCGTCCCATGAAGCATAGCAGATTAACACGATGGATGCCGTCCCATGAAGCATAGCAGATTAACACGATGTCGGAAGGTTTCCAGGATGGTCTGAAGGTGGATGGTGTTTGACTGATCGGGTGTTAAATACACTCCAAGATGCTTCACAGCTTCAACGATGGTGATAGATTGGGAAAAGAGCTGGACAGGGTGGTCGTTGCTGTAGTTACGGATCTGAGTCGTTCTGGC